TATCGAAGGAAAGATAGATGGGCGGATAGAAGTGACAAGAAGACGAGGAAGAAGACGTAAGAAGATGCTGGATGACCTTGGGGACAGAAGAGGATACTGTCATTTGAAGGAGAAAGCTCTAGATCGCATTAAATGGAGGAATTGTTTTGGAAGAGACTCTGGACCTGTCGTCTTGACAGATTACTGATGATGATATTGCTCAAATATTAAATTGTTAATAGCTTACATTATCATCTCCCTGAATAAATTATAGTTCAGTGTATGAAAATGTAAAGAAATGAAGTATCTGAACTGGTACAGTTGGCACCACTTGAGATGGGGGCCTATAAGGCCTTAAGTTTTTCATAGAATTAGGTGAATCACAGGCACAATTACTTTTGAAATATTGTTTGTAACGTGAAAGTAAGATGAATGCACTATCGGCCCTTAGAAATACCACTACTCCTCTCAGGTAAGTAAGTAAGTAAAGCTATACCTGTAACAGCCCCTGGAGGCCCATAGGCTTGTGACATGCTGAAGTTCCCACATTTTCTAGACAATCATAGATGGCGGCAAGGTTGTCAGCCTTACGCGACTGCCCCTTTTACCCCCAGTATATTCCTGGTACTCATTTGTGTTAGAGGCTAAGTCGACCCCAAGGTCATAGTGCGGCTGGAAGGATTAGGTCAAGCGAAAATAAATCCAATGACCGCATCGGGACTTGAAAACGCGCCTTTCCTGCTTATAGCATAGTGCCCCAACCAACTACGCTACCGCGTGCCCCCACCCGTCTCAGGTACTTACCAGAAAGGGATTGGGAACCATCAATATAAATCACGTGACTCACATTAAAGTTGTTCAGCTGACCAGAATTCGCCAGAACTCCCAGCCGGTAAGAACCAATGTCGATGAGTTCCCGTAGAGAGTTGAAAGGAAGTGAGAACTTCTGCACGGTGAGGAAGGAGATCAGGAAGGCTGCGTATGCTGTGTACACAGTCAGCGCCGTTAGCTGCGCCATGAGATACAGCGCCCTCTGTGAGTAGAATCGCGTCTGATTGTTCACGCCTGAAAGACACTTAACTTACTTATTTTGCTCTTTTTAAAAAATGCAGACATGAGAAAGCGGCCTCATGGAAAAGAAGGATCAGATGGGAAGGGAACTGAACTAGCTCAGAATAGTGTCAAGACGTAAGCTTTAATTGCGTTGTACAGGGTGATTGTAATTATTGTTGGTGTTTCCGTGGCCTATAATTTTGAAATCGGAAAGAATTAAATGAAACTGCTTACTGAAAGTGTAATTCAGAAACGTTTGTTTTCTATAGCATCAGTACTGCTAAACAACTTCAACGTTCGCAGCTTTCATGGAACGTAAGGTTTGGAATTTATAGGCCACGGAAATTCCAACTATACTTTAGGATCACCCTTTGTCGTTACAATGGGAAAGGGAAGGTAAAGCTATCCCTGTAACAGACCATGAGAAGTTGAGGCTCCCACATTATCTAGACAATCGGCTTACAGATGGCGGTGAGGTTTTTAGCAATACGCGCCGGCCGCCCTCAGCAGGGCTGGAAGGATTAGATCAATTGAAAAATGCAATAACTTCATCAGGAATCGAACCCGCGATCTTCCGGCTTATAGCATAGCACCTCAATCAACTACGGTATCGCGTGCCCATGCATCTTAAAAATTAGCTAAAATTGTACAAGAGTTTTATTTATTTATTGGAGCTTAGTGGAATGAAGACCATTAGTACTGCGACTGAAGGTGGTTCCACTGTATCAGCCCCGAAGATAGACGAGACTGAACTATAAGTGGAATACAAATTGGCAGGGGACATCAGAAGTACCATGAGAAACATCTGCCCCATAAATTCCCTACGGACAGGTCTGGAACTGAGACTGGGTTTCCACTCTGAGAATCAGGAGACAAGCCGCCTTAGGTGTGGCTCAGACAGACGATTACTAAAATTAATTACTTGGTTGGTAGGTCAATAAATCGATCTGTTAATCAACTATCCATTCCGTGAGTTAGTCACACTGCCATTATATCAGTCAAATAAGTACCCATTATTTACCGAGTCACAGAGTCAGTCGTGGGGGAGGCAGAACAAGGCCGTACACGTATGGATGACAGCGGCGCTCAAGCACCCCTACCGTCTGCTTACTGATGTGTCCCCTTCCAGACTTTACGGAACTATGTCACCCAATCCAAAACAGGAATCTCATAGAGCCAAGAGAAACGAAACGCCCTGGAGAGGAAAGCNGGGCGGGGGGGGGGGCTGTTGATCCAAGGGGCTGCTTTCTTCCATCTGAGGCAAGTTGTCGTTTCAGTGACTTTGTCACACTCACAGCCCAGCATACAGTGAGATAATTTTTACTTCGTGAAGATTACAATCTTATGGGATATAACGCTCTGTAATCCGTTCTGCTGGCCACCTGCTTTCACACTGTTTTTTTTTTTTGTATTTCGACCGTGAAGATGAAGGTGATTTGTTCAACCGAAATGTCGTTTGACTTTCATGAAGCTTCAAGGTGTTATATCACAGTAGACAGAACTCTTCATAACTACCGATGTGAGAACCTCAAATCCTAAAATTATTTCTTCAGTTTTCAGTTGCCTGATTGCTTGATCAGTCAGTTAGTTATTTAATCAGTTCAGATACGAAAGTCGCTCCTGCCAGTCGCTGCTGACCTTGCATGTAGAACACGCCCATGACGTAGACAGCGCAGTGTGAGTCTGGTGACTCTGATGACATTCTTCCGAAGAACCGCAGCTTTATGTGGTTAAACGTCTTCAGGCAGAGGACTATCACCACTTTAGTCAGTATCACCAGCATCCAGAGCTGAGGACTAAACGGTTCCAGGAAGCCGTGCCAGATGACATCCTTATGTCCGTTCTGCCTGATCAGCACACAGTTCCTGGAATGCACAAGCAGAGAGTCTGCTGCTAAGAGAGCGTAAAGCTTCATTTCTTGTATTTTTCGCCAAATATAGTTAGACAATCATGTCAAGCAGGTTGGGAAGGACAAAGCATGTAGCACGTACTGGACGAAACGGAATGCAACATGTGAGAAAGTCAGAAGCAAAGGGAACACTGGGAAGACCTAGACGCCTTTTGGAGGAAAATAATAGGACGAAACTTGGAGAAATGGGATGGTGTGAAGTGGGCTGGATTCATCTGGCTCAGGATAGTGAAGCCGGTTATGAATCTTCGGGTTCCATAAAATGTTGGAAAATTCTTGAATAGTTGAGCAACTGGCGACTTCTCCAGGAGGACTCAGCCACATGGAGTTCTTGGTTAGTTACTTAGTTAGTTAGTTGCAGTACTACCAGTGGTATCGACTCTAGGATTGAAGGCAGAAGAAGGGTCTTTGTCAAGTTATTTCCTTCATTAGTAAAATCTCCTCTATCTCTTTAACCTATTCACTTCCCGAGATTTTACCTTCTCTCCAGATCAGGAGCTGCCTGGAATTGTTTAAAGGTGGGAAGGTTTCTCTTCAGTTCTTACACTGCAATATTTCCCTTCCCCCATTTCACATATTTTAAAATGGACCAGAAAAACCTAAACGGTTTAAGAAGAGGTAGAAACAGACTGGAAAATGGAGACTGAAAAGAAAAGATGGAAAGCAGGCGCGAAGAAACAAAGACAAAACAGTGCACCTGGTGTTGATGAGTGGGACAGTAAAGTCCACAGCCCCTGCCCTGAGAGCAGTCATTGTGAACTCGGCAACAGAGATTTCAGTTTCTCCTCTCAGTATCATGCCCAGCATTCCGTTCCACGAGCCATCCTGGGTAAGCGACCCCCACGCTCTGTCCTTTGGGATGTAATAAGCTGACCTGAAAGCATTAAGTAATAATAAGAATAATCCAGTTCTATTGAATTATGTACTATTGAATTTCCGAGACAGAACCTACAAGAATGGCGCTACTGCTACTGCTACTACTGTCCCTGTGCTTAACTAATTACGTCCTAACCATGGAGTCGTATGTGGAAGTGACGGTATAGATCCTTGCATTTTTGCATTTTTGGAGGTGAGTGGTCCACTTCGTGTCCCAACCACTTTAACCCCGCGGAAGGACACTCGGGTACCTATTGCACAGGAGCCTGGACGGGCCTTGGAAACGATCTGAACGACATGGAGAAGAGAAAACTCTTGACCCTGCCAGGATTCGAACTCCAGTCCGGTCCTTAGCCACTCGCTATTTCTTTTTCTAATGGCTCTTCCAGCCCATTCAGGACCTAGGCCTCTTATTCAGTTCCGTAATCATTTTTCGTAGACGGTAGGAATCCTTGGACGAGTGATCAGCCCGTCGCAAGGCCACTACCTACACACAGGACGAGTTTATTCGTGAATCCGAGAGATTAGAGATTTAGACAGCAGTGAGAGATTCCTCAGACAGACGTTGTTCAGAAGGAGTTCAATGTGTGAGCTGTTCTGATTGAGTGTAATTGTAAAGAAGTGCCAATAAACCCAATCATGAAATCCAGAACCCATTGTTATTAGTCACACTAACCCCGGATACGTGGCATTATTATTATTATTATTATTATTATTATTATTGAAGTCGTGTAAATTGTCTTGTTTTTCTACTTTGTTTCTGTCAGTTTTGTTTCTCTTCTGCACTCGTGTTCACTTTGTAATTGGTCTTCGGACTGCTGAGTTAGCACGTGAATGAATAAATAAATTAAATTATTATAGAAAAAATCCTGGAGTTCAAACTCCTAAACCGGACGTTCCCGAAGGCTGAGGAATGCGCCTGTTTTCAGTCCCCAGTTCAGAGACCGAGATTGTTATGCAGTCTACAGCTTCGTGCTTCAGAATCCTAGTATCAGCAGGCGTAAATATCGCATTTTTCTCTGCCACGCAACTCCTTACTTACTTGAGTCCGTGCCAGTTCTACAGAACTGTACTGACGGGGGTAGGTCATACATACCTCTCCGCGCTCTTGCTGTGGTGGACAGTCCATGCATTTTGTTGCTCGGTTTGTGTCCATTTAGCAATTCCATGAATTCTGCTCCTGTCTGTATAGCCTAGAAACAATGGAATGGCAACTTGCGAGGTCAATATCAGTAAATGATTTTGGCCTCAAATGCGACAATATCGTGTTAAAGGCCATGCCATAGCTCAGGTGGTTAGTGGCCAGTCTCGCAACGCAGCAGCCCGGTTTCGAGCCCAGGTCAGGTAATGTGGGATTTGTGATGGACAAAGTGGCACTGGGGTACGTTATCTCCCGAGTACTTCGGTTTCCCCTACCAGTTTATATTACACCGTCTATTCCACTTTCATCATCTATCACCTGGGGCTGGTTCGAAAGGCCAAATAATGGCCGACGTACCAAGTGGACTCAGTCTCACCCTACCCCAAGAAACTAACTAACATCTTGTGAACAAACCGTTCCTGAATGTTCCCGAGTTCATTTCCGTGAAATAATCAGCTGCAGTCTTTGATTTCGATCTGAACACTTACTCTGAGTCGATCTCATTAGCACCAAATCCAACAGGACACATTTGTAACTCTGTTACCTTCCCCCACTTCAGCACTTATCCCCGCTCCCCAACCACCACTGTGCTTACAGCGTGATACACTTAAGCGTCTCAGATAAATGGCAGTTGTTTGTTACTCTCTCCACTGTTCCCACGAACATAATCCTCGCAACTGTAACGTCGCTGCACTCGTTTCTGCCATCATTTCACTACACATCTATAAGGACGAGGGCACAACAAGGAAACTGGCAACTGAAACGCAACCGAAACGCAACCGCAGTTTCCTAGAATTGTATCAGACTGAGTTGAACACACATTTTCCTCATGGTTGTCCTCTCTTCTCACGCCGTCTCAACCACCACCACATTATGACAGGATCAGTATTATTATCTTCCACTGCAGAAGAGAAGTGCACGAAGTTAAACATTACCATCACGCATTAATTCGGACGAACACAGCCACTTCAGATGATGCGAGCAACTAATCAAACATAAGTTTCCTCAGTATGCGACTGCTAATCTGGAAACCAGTTGCATGCTTGAAATCTGTAGCGCTTCTTGGAAATTGCGGTTGCGTTCCAGTTGCAAGTTCCTTTGGTGTATCGTCGCCCTAACAGATGGCCTTAATTCAGTACATAGTGAAACTGGTTCCACCATACGTGGCGGCTTCTGTTTTTACACGAACCGATGTCTGAGCTCTTGATAATATCGTATTGTCGCGTATTGGGCGTATATCACGACAAATAAGTTCTCGACGTATTCGATGTAGCGAATTTTATTTCACATTCGCTCATACAACCACCCAAATTACAATCTGACGATTACCGCTATCTGCAGTATCACAATTAGTACACTGAAAAATGTCACAATACAACTGACTAGTTGCTGGCTAACTCGGCGGTAGCTCCAGGACTCGCTGACTGTCTCAGTACAACTGACTGTGAATAGCCTTCGCTGCTCCTTATGTAACCTCGATCGGACCATACGGAAAACGGCCGCGTAATAGGCACCCTTTTTGCCTGGCGCTGTGTTGCTATGTAACGCTAGCGGAGGTAACCGCTGTTACTATCGTAACGTCGCCGCTGTTGACTCGCGTTGCCTAGCGACCGCGATATCCCTCGGTGACGTCACCGCGGAGGGGAGTGGCGGGGCGGGAACTCGCCTATTACGCGAGCGTTACGTCACCGCTGGGGAGGTAGGGGTCAACATGTCACAGTATATTTCGAAAACCTTGCGTCGCAGAATGTCTTCATCAGAATTATCAGTGCAGTTTCCATCCTTTAGTTTGTGTGTGTTTTTTTAGAGATCAAATCTGAACATTTCCAATTGTTTTCGAGTTAATTTTGCCTCGCTCTGATTCTCGTTACAGTCCTACAAATGATTCGTCAGTGCGGTGTTGTGCTTTGGGAAGGCTGCCCAGTTGCTGCCTGTTATCTTGTTCTCGCCTGAAATAACTAGAACCGTGGAAACTATGCTCCAGTCTGTCTATGCAACACTTACATCCTTGGTCCTTGGCCTGCTAAATCCGAAATAGTACTATTACACTATGGCATTAAAACTGCAAATAGAATATATATATATATAGCAAGACTGTAGACTTCTAAGCTGCAAATCAATTTACGTTGATTCGTTGAACGTGTTCACGTGATAATCAGTAACTACAGCGCAGCCGTAATAGCAGCAAGCCAGAATAATCATTCTGTTGTTCGGCGTCACACAAACTGAGTTATTAAATACGACAGAATTGTGACATTAACACCGCTAAAACCAAGTTAAACCAGTGAACATGAGCCTGAGCCAGCTCAGTCCAACTACCATCCCCTCAAACTGTTTCATTACGAGGTACTTCATCACTCACGGTAAGGTGATGCGTCCGTATATTTCGTAACCAAAAGGAATCAGCGGTCATAAATTTTGTGAAGCATTAGATGAAAACCCCTGTTAAAATTAGACAGATAAGTATTCAAGAAGGTTTATTTTATACTTAGTCACCTGACTACATGACAGATACTCACGTAAAGTTCATCCTTTGCTCCAAAATATGCCACACTTCACCGAAGAACCCCTCGAGAATTACCCTGTTGTTAATCTTCTTCACAACGGTAATTGGTGGCTCCTGGAAAGAGACGCACTCACGTACATTCGCCTTCTCGCTTAACAAGTAACTAACAAACTAACTTAAACTTCAAGACTGTCAGCAGGGAACCTCACTCTATTCGCATTGTAGTCGCTCGGTTGACGAGCGTAGAAAGTGTCAAAAATATAGGCCGTACTCCAGTGAGTGTTTTAAGTCTGTGCGCTTTCCTTTCCCACATATAATCATTACTATCTTACCATAAGATTTTCAAAATGAACTATTATGGAATAATGAAGTAACGCACACTGATATATTCCCGTTGAAACTGGCCTTCAATAAGCTTCTTCATATATGGCTTTGACACATTGATTATCCATCTGTGGCATCGAATTCAACAATTTTTGAGTGAAACAAAATATATGTTCAGAATCCTCGAATGTTGGCCAGTTTGTTTTCACGCAGTGCTGATCCACATTCTTGAATATGGCGGCCATTTCAAGCACCTCTTCTAAGAATGCAAAAATAAAATGGTTGTTAATAACTCCTTTGGTTGTTTCCTTCTCATGACTGTCCGCTAAACCCAGGAACTATTTCAGGTGTGAAAGTAAGGTCAGAATACCCTTAACTTTTCAAAGACGTCATAAAGGATGCTCATTCTTATGAACTGATTGCAATTGTGACGTCCGGAAACCATTTTGTAAAATACAACATGCAGTACACTCAAACACACACGCACACATATATACTCATATATATAATTTACCCATGAATGAGCAGCAACTCTGGCAACTTAAAATGACGTCTTTGCAATGTACGTATTGAAGCGTACTCTTGTAAAAACTCCATTTCCACAATTCATGAATCATTTTCTCCACGCAATAAATTTATTATTATTATTTTTTTTTAATTTTTTGGTTGGGGTGAGACAGAGTCCACTTGGTACCTCGGCCACTGTTCACCTATTGCACCAGCCCCGGATGATAGATGATGAGTGTGGAGCAGTCGGTGGAATGAGAATTGGCAAGGGAATCTTAAGTACTAGGAGAAAATCCCACTTTATCTGACCTGGGCTCGAACCCCGACCGCAGCGGTAGGAAGTCAGTGACTAACCACCTGAGCTGTGGCACGGCCAGTTACTATACTTACTGTCATAGTAGCAACTTTCATGACAATTCCTTGCAGATCATTTCTACGTTCGAAGAAGCTGATGTTTGTCAGGGTAAGTCCTACATCCTGGCGCCACGTTCCGAAGTAATTTCTGCTCAGAGGAAGATCTCGGTTTAAGTGGTAAACTTCGCTGATGATGACGTCATTGTTTTGACGGTGTGTGACTAGAAACTCGCAATCCAGAGGAATGTATATGTCATGAAAAAAATCGTCCATAGGTTTCGTGTCGGTCTCTTCGAAACTACTCAGCAGAATCCAAACTGCGTTTGAGAGGTGCACGCTTGAAGATGCCTGAACAGAACCATGTTTGATTAGTCATTATCATATGCCTAAGTGTATCATGTTGCTGAGATCTAGTGCAGACCGTATGATTAGATCCGGCCGCTGGGTTGCGCTCTTGGCAAGCATGGCAAGAAGTTACGGGACAGTGGTTGCGGTTGCATTCTGGGAATGGAACTGACGAAATATGAGTAAAGTGCTGGTTTAATCCATATGTTCCTTATGTACTTACGTGTACATTTATTAATTTTTTAAATTAATCCCAGCCACGCATCTGTTAATTTTCCCCCTGTATATCTAAAAGTTCTTAAGATTTCTTCAGAAATGATTCTGTGCTGTTTGTGACAAACGAAAGGCTCAGGACACATGTTAAAAACGAAGGAAGGCTTAGATCTAAGCGTCTCCTGTATCATAAATGTAGCAATGCCTTTAAGTGTTGTTATTGTGGGTTTCAGGTAATGCTTGCTACAATTCAGTCCAGAACCTTTTGTCTTCCCGTCTGCTGTCCAAAAACATAAAAATTAGAATATACAAAACTATAATTTTCCTTGTGGTTCTGTGTGGGTGTGAAACTTCGTCTCTGACATTAAGGGAGGAACATAGACTGAGACTGTTTGAGAACAGGGTGTTGAGAATATTTGGACCGAAGGGAGATGAAGTTACAGGAGGTTGGAGAACACTGCACAATGAGGAGCTTCATAACATTTACTCCTCTCCAAGTATAATTAAAATGATCAAAGAAAAGGAGGATGATTGGGAGGACATGTAGCACGAATGGAAGAGAAGAGGAGTATATATTAGATATTGGTGGGAAAGCCGGAAGGAAAGAGACCACTAGGAAGACCAAGGCGTACTTGGGTGGACAATATTAATATGAATTTCAGAGGGACAGGATGGGATGGTATGGATTGGATTGATCTGGCTCATGATAGGTACCAGTGGAGGGCTCTTGTGAATACGGTAATGAACTTTCGGTTTCCATAAAATGCTGGGAATTTCTTGAGTAGCTGCACAACTGGCAGCTTCTCAAGAAGGGCTCATCTCCATGAGTGAATAAGTGTTACTGTGGGCTGAGTAACCTTAATTTCATTGCTGTCGGTAGGAAGGTGCGAATGTTTTCTCAGGAGTAGTTGATCAGTCAGATGTCCACATGTTTGCATGGAGAATATGTGTGTTATTTGTAATTGGCAACTGGAGGTCCGCGGTAATTGGATTACACGAGGTACACGAGATTACACTTTGTATAATTAACCAATTAGAATATTATATTGTAGCATACTGCTGCACATCACTTGGTATTAAAAATGACAGTGCTTCACCGTCTTACATACAATGTGTCTATCTAAATTTTATTTAAATACACAAAATGTGTCTTTTTAAACCTTATTTAAAAAGTCTTGTACATTGCACTTCATATTTCGACTGACATTGGTCACCATCAGGTGTTTAAAAATTGTTGGTGGAAACTGCTGCGATTTCGTTTTGTTATTCTGATATTCGATGTGCAGTGTCATCTACAGTCGAGCCTAGACACCCAGCACCGTGAAATGGGACTGCTCATCAAACATCAGAATCACAAAACAAAAGCACAGCAGTTCCCACCAGTATTTTTAAACACCTGATGATGACCAATGCAGTCCAATATACAAAGGCTTTCAAATAAAGTTTAAAAAGACACATTTTGTGTATGTAAGAAACTTTTAATAAGTTTTAGAAGGACGCGTGGCATGTAAGACAATGAACCAGTGACGTTTGTTGAGTAACCAATTAGAAAGCACGTTTAGTTTGAATGACTCGATATTTATATATTATATATTAGACTAAAACTAAGATAAGGGCAGCAGAATTTCGGTGAGTATTTAAAGGTTAAGGAGAGTAGAATTTGAGTGAGTGTGGGATCAAGTTGTTGATAAAAGCTGGCAAGGGGAACAGTCTTGAAACTTTCAAAAACATCTGTTTCACAAATATATAATATATGGAAGTGCTACCTGTGATAGCGTAGTCGGTATAGCGAATAGCTACGGCCTGGATGACTGAGAGGTCACATTTCGAGTCCCGATAGGGTCAAGAATTGTCTGTTCTCCACAGCGTCCAGACCGTCACTGGGGCCCACCCAGCCTCCTATCCCATGGATACCGGGAGGTTCTTTCATCTACTATTAACATTTCCCAGCTGAGCCTTGAAATGTCGTCTGATCAAAGGCGTCGCAAGAACAGAGTTAGTACTAAATCATCCATGACATGTCCAAACGAATTTACTTTAACGCATAAAACCTCTCACTGGACAAGAGATGACGCTCCGAAAGGATTCATTCTCTTTGCATTGGTGCTATTGCTCGCGATGCCCAAACAGTAATGATTTCAGGCAGAACGTACAAATACACACTAATTGTCCTTGCAAGGGTTATGAATGTGTTATAAGTGCCTTGACTTTCTGTTCTCTTCCCATATGTAATAATTTCAGCAGCCCTCCTCTGACTATGAAATCACTATATAACACGCTCAGTTGATTTATGTCTGATATTTCTGTGGACGCATTGAACTGCAGTGAGAAAATGTGCCACATTTCGACGATGCAGTTCACATCTTATTCGAAAACACTTGTGTCCTCTTCGTAACTACGTTGTCAGATAATTGAAAGTCCTGTATAGACAAAAAATTCTCACAATTTTTAGAAAACCCCTCACAATCAGCTGAAAAATTTCCTTTTAAGCAACTAACTTTCTTAGAATACTTCCATTTCGGCGAGAAATATAGAAATTTTGAAGAAACAGTACTGAAAATTATGCATTTTACAACTAGTCTGGTAAAACACCAACTGCTTTGGTTGATATTTTTTATTTCAGGTCATTGATTTTCTTCTTCCTCAACTAAAGATATAAGTCGAAGCGACATAGTAGCTATGATCGGTCTCGAAACGACGCTCAACATTATGATCCTTCGGAAATCCGACATTCTACCACACAGTAAACACATTTTCGTGTGTTGTAAAGAAAACAATATGATTGTTCCTACTCGACACTGAAATTATAGGTCCGTTGTATAGTTTGACCCACCAATTTCCGGGGGAAAGTAGCATAATTAGTGTAGAAACAAGCTCTAATTGTAATAAAGAGTGAAATGCGGGAGAAACCTGCGTCACGACATCTCTATGCATGGTATTATGGCTGTTTCCTCGCAAGCTCGCATGTCACGTGTGATAAATTGGTCAGGCAATGGTATTTGGCGAATTCCGAGGCAATGGCGTGGGCCACAGTCTCTCTCGTCAGCAGCAACACGAAACTGGGTACGCACTTAATCAACGTCTTATTAAGAAGTGGTTTGTCAGTCAGTGACAAGCAATAATAAAAGTCTTGGCGGGAACTCTGTTGGGGCGTCATGCTCTAAATTGGTCAGGGCCACAACGCACTACTCGCGGTTCGATTATAGATGAGTGTGCAGCAATAATGAAAGGGTGCTTAGCGGGAGAAAGCCCTATTTCAGCACCAGTTCTCAAATCCCCAATTCCACATAAAATCAATCAGGACTGAATCAGTGGCTCCGTGGTGAGAAAATTTCGCCTAACCGCTTGAGCTATGTCACGACTTCTTGGGGTTTCTTAAAGTCAGGGAAATTTTTACTAGCTGAAGGACCATAATCCACTCTTTCTGTTATGCTCTCCTTATGCTCTGGTACTACCTTGAGAAGGGCGCTTCCAGTTGCGCTGTCGCTGGAGATCAGAACGTTAAGAGGGCGGCCGCTACGGCACCTAAGATGGCGGCGTACGAACAGCTGATCGAGTGGAATGATGGCCGAGGAAACGCGTCGCCGTGTTAGTGCCTTTTGAGTCTGGAGCAGCAGTTCCAGGTTGCCTGAAGGAGGAGAGAAAATGCCACAGAAACAATGGAACACACAAGTGACTCGTATATGACCTTGGATCTTGGGTTCGAACCTTATTTCAAGCATAAATATTTGTCTTTTACATGTATTACATCATATTCTGGATCATAAGTAAGAACTGTGAAGGGGATACATACAAAGGGATAGAGGAAAACGATAGGAAAAATAATAAATTGAAAATAAGGATAAAGTAAGAAAATTGTTCCTGTACTTATTTAAGCATACGTCATTAAGGCGTATGGGGGAGTGGATGTGTAGCTCCACGCAGTCTTAGTTTCGGTGTTTGCTGGCGGTGAGTGGCCAGCTTTTCGCCTCGGACGCTTAATGGCAGGGGTGGGAACTGTGGTGCTTTCTGGCTGGGAGTTAATGTGACCTGCAGTGAAGAAGAGAAAAACCTCTTGCTCCTATTGGTAGTCGAACTGAAGTTCTTCAGTCATGTAGCCTGTAGCCTAATCACTTTACTATTGAGAAAACAAATTAGGAAATGGGGGGAGACATCGTTATAGCATATTAATACAAATTATTTTAACGCCAATTTCCATGAAAACCTTCAAAATATTGACGCCAAAGCTCACATCTGCGGCTGAAACATGAGACAGGCACTCCCAAGTCGATAATATTTCTTACCCATATTATTTGCTTCCTGATTGTAATAAAGGAATACACAAGCAGATCGGAAGTGTGTTCCAACATGGAATATGACGCTTGCCGTTGTTGTCTTGTTCCAATGTTGGTAGTTGGCCGTACTCAGTGACAACACAAAGATTATGAACTGCAAACTTATGGATTCCATGGCCCAGTAGATCGACCTGTAATGATACAGATAATCGATGGATCGAATTACAAACACTGGTTACATGCAAAATGTGGAAAGACATTTGGTTCTATAGCTGCATGGCCACTACACACAACACTTGTAAAACAGACAATTGTTACTGTAACTGTAAGAGAGAGTTCTTGGTTCTACACGCGGTAGCGTAGTGGTTAAGATTCTATACTACAAGCCAGAAGGTCACGGGTTCAAGTCCCGATGAGGTCATTGGATTTTTTTCAACTGACCTAATCCTTCCGGCTGCACTAGACCCTGGGGTTCACTCAGCCTCTAACAGAAATGAGTACCAGGAATTAATTAAATGATTTTCCAGGGGAGTGAAGCGCGGCCGGAGCGTAAGGCTGACACCCTTACCGCCATCTTTAAGTCGATTGTCAAGGTAATGTGGGACCCTCAACGTCTCACAACCCTATGGGCCTTCACGGCCTGTTACAGGGATAGCTTTACTTTCACACATGTAAAAAAAAATTCGTGCCAACAAAAAGACACTTGTAACTGCAACTATGAGAAAAATGTTGTTTTTGCTATTGCGAGACAAAGAATTCGTCATCAGAGCTGTCAGGGAAAACAT